CAACATATTTTACCGCCCACTGGGTCAATGGGGAGTCATGCTCAAAGTTGGAGCGCTTATGCAGTTAGTAAAGTTCAAAAAAGTCAGTAGCAGCTCTCAGCTGGTTTCCACCTCGAATGCTAGGAGCGGCTGTTTACGGCCAGCAGCAGCAACAACACAGCCTGCAATGATGTTAGCGTGAAGCGCTAAGTGAATTAGCTGCTTGCTGACGGTGGAGCTTTTAATTTTATTTGCCATTTAAAGTATTTTTTATTTATTTTTTATTTTTATAATTTGCACTAACTGCATTACTGTCACACAGCTGGTGGGAAAGGCAGCAAAAACAACAAGTGGACGTTGAGTGACGTCAATTGCTGGAATACATAAATGCGTGTGTGTGTGTGTGATTCTTTTTGTGCGTGTAGAAATGTAATTACGTAACGTAATACTCATCGTAGCGAAATATTCTTTAGTGTAATTAAATACTTAACGAATTGTTTACCACTTTTTTCTCATAACAAGATATGTTCATACACATAATTATCTTTATATTAAGCTGTTGGTCTAATTATTATAGGCAAATATCACTCTGTTGGAAATGAATAAAATAGAAACAACTGGAAAAACTTTATGCACTGAAATAAAGCAACACAAAAATTTTGGCAACTTTAGCCAAAAAAAAATTTTTTTGAGGAGAATAAATATTAAAATGTATTTAAACTAGTATTTCCAGAACAAAAACTTTTCACGTCCCTTTATGCAGACCTACGTATAATTTCAATAGAAGATAAACAAATGTTAATAATACTATTATAATTTTTTTAAATTAATTAATTTTATTTTATTTAGTTTCATTCACATTGATATTTTTTTATTTTATATAATATATTTAATCTTTTAGTTTTACCCAATATTAAATTAATTTTTTTATTTCGTTTTGTATTATCTTAATTTGATTAATTTATTTTTTTAAATTGAGTATATTTTTTGGTACTATATTGTTTTTTTTTATTTTATTTTAATTATTAATTTCAATTTATTCCATTTTATGTTATATTTTACTTAATTTTATTTTAATGTTTTTTTTACATTGTTGTCTTGTATGCTATTTTATCTTATTTGATTTTTTTTTATTTTAGCTTATTTCATTTAAATTTTTTGTAATTCCTTGCTTAATCTTTTTCATTCTTTCCTTTTGTTTTATATTGCTTTATTTTCATTTACTTTATTTTATTTTATTTTATTTTACTTTAATTTATTTCATTTTATTTTAATTTATTTTATTTTTTTTTCATTTAATTTAATTTAATTATTTATAGAAATGTAATTACGTAACGTAATACTCATCGTAGCGAAATATTCTTTAGTGTAATTAAATACTTAACGAATTGTTTACCACTTTTTTCTCATAACAAGATATGTTCATACACATAATTATCTTTATATTAAGCTGTTGGTCTAATTATTATAGGCAAATATCACTCTGTTGGAAATGAATAAAATAGAAACAACTGGAAAAACTTTATGCACTGAAATAAAGCAACACAAAAATTTTGGCAACTTTAGCCAAAAAAAAATTTTTTTGAGGAGAATAAATATTAAAATGTATTTAAACTAGTATTTCCAGAACAAAAACTTTTCACGTCCCTTTATGCAGACCTACGTATAATTTCAATAGAAGATAAACAAATGTTAATAATACTATTATAATTTTTTTAAATTAATTAATTTTATTTTATTTAGTTTCATTCACATTGATATTTTTTTATTTTATATAATATATTTAATCTTTTAGTTTTACCCAATATTAAATTAATTTTTTTATTTCGTTTTGTATTATCTTAATTTGATTAATTTATTTTTTTAAATTGAGTATATTTTTTGGTACTATATTGTTTTTTTTTATTTTATTTTAATTATTAATTTCAATTTATTCCATTTTATGTTATATTTTACTTAATTTTATTTTAATGTTTTTTTTACATTGTTGTCTTGTATGCTATTTTATCTTATTTGATTTTTTTTTATTTTAGCTTATTTCATTTAAATTTTTTGTAATTCCTTGCTTAATCTTTTTCATTCTTTCCTTTTGTTTTATATTGCTTTATTTTCATTTACTTTATTTTATTTTATTTTATTTTATTTTATTTTATTTTATTTTATTTTATTTTATTTTATTCTATTTTATTTTATTTTATTTTATGACATTAGTTTCATTTACTTTATAAAATATTTTATTTGACTCTATTTTATTGTATTTTTTTATTTAATTTTTTTTTTGTATTTCTTTTTATTTTATTTTATTTAGAAACCTTATATTAAAAATATATATATATAATAAGTTATTGGCGTTTTGCAACCGCTGTAGCGGTTGGGATGTTGGTACGACACCTAGACTCGAAATCGAGCCATCCGATGCGCAGTATGCAAAGTTTGCCAATCGGTTAACACGGCCGCCCCTCACAGAAATTTCATACCTTGATTTTCTTACAATATTGCCATTCCAATCGAATTGCTTTCACAACACAAAAATTTCAGCAGTATTACCAATCAAAACGATTACCAAAAGTATTTCTCGTCTTAAAATCTTTACAAACACTCAATAAGTGATTACTACACTTCCGTCTATCTACACTCACACATCACTGCAGCTTTCGTTGAACAAACACCTGGTCGAGTTTTGAATTTTATTTGTATTGCATTTATCTATTTGAGTATTGAAATTGAAAAATTATTGCATTTTACTTCCCCACGCACACATACATGTATTTTCTTTAGTGTTTATTTTTCAAGAGTTACGACTATGTCCTTGTCTGTATACAACTACCGTCAAGCAACAAACGAAACAAGCAGTGAAGTGCCAACTGAATGCATAAACAAATATGTATGTGTATTGATATATGCGAGAATTTATGAAAGATGTTTGCACATATGTTGAGTTATTTCATCTCGATGTGTACATAAATTGCATCAGTCTGCAGTACATACAAACGCTTCATTCCATTCAATTGCCGACTTATTCAAGTAAAAGAAAGAGACTCAAAATCCGCTCCATATGGCTCGGAATGATTTGAATGGAGGATAAATTCAATGCGGATGCAAATAAAAGCTTGATGCAGTGGCGAATCGAAAGAGCAAATTTTAAGTAGAACGCCTTAAAGTAGGCAACAGGAAAAGCAAATGTATTTTTAAATCAGAAGATTGAGAAATAAATAAAAATTGAGAATAAATAACTCCGAGTGTAAATATTCCTGCTGTGAAGAAAAATAAATTTGTTCTTAAAAACTACATGTGCTTTGATATGCAAATTCCAACACTGTTAATGCTTGTCCTAAAAGTGTTGAGTGGGTTTTAAATAAATAAAACAAATATTTTAAAGATTTGTAAAATATAAATGGAATTTAATAGCGACTTCAATTACGCTTTGGTTATATATGTGCTCATAAATACTAAAATATTGTGTTTGCATGGAAATATATATGCAAATGCCATAGCTGCTTTAAGAAATATTTATTTTGTTATTTTAAATAAGAAAAACTATGACTTTAAAGTTAAATATTATCCAGTTACTACAAAGTTTGTTTTTACAAAATTGTGGAAAATATATTTTGGTATTTCTTACAAAAAAATTATATATATATTTTTTAATTTACTATAAATTAAATTTTCTTCTTATTTAATTACACTTCAATTTCAATTAAGAATTTATATTTTGAACATATTGCAAATAAACAAATTTTAACTGCAGCTCATTGTTTTATTTATTAAAAATCCTAAAACAACTCTTAAAATTATGATTTTTCTGAAAGCATGGCATTTTGGTCAATATTTAAGTTTTATCGTCGGTGATGCTTCTTGCAGAGCCTTCTTTTATTAGAGTGAAGCAAACAGCTACTTCTGCTACTTGTGTTATTTCCATTAAAGTACGCAAGGAGAATAAGTCTCAAAATAGAGAAGCAGCGAACACACTGTGCAAATCAGCTGGTGCGACATTCCCCACATAGAAGGCTCCAGCTAATTCTGGGAGCTCATCGAGCAAGTGACGTGGAACTGGCAGAATCTTGTTAAACCTTCTGTACTAATATTGAGACTAAGTCAATGATAAGTGCATTAAGAAAAATTCTCTGAAAAAGATAGAGAGATATCAAGAAGCCCAACGGCGTCCTCAGAAATGATGAACATTCTCATCATCTCTCATTTTAAAAGATGCTGTGATGATTGTCATGCAGCTGATAACTAATTATGAAGAGCACAAACGTGAATCGAATATTTAATTAAAATCATAAGTCGCAATAGATTAAAAAAGTCTATAAAAGCCTCTTAAACCCTCAAGTCTCCGAGAGTACACGTAGATGATATTTTCCCGCCAAACTACAAGCAGTAAAAAATATCCAGTTTCCTTAGCTGTGTAAAATTTGGTCAGTCTGACTCTCTACGGTTCACATTTCCCCGGTGTTAGGAATCTTTATACCAAGAGGACTAGTCACATAAATTCAAAAGATTTTCACTCAATTAGCCTGAGAAATCCTGAAGAGAACACTCGACGCATATATATTATATACATCAAGAAATACCTCAAAACAGTCCAAAGGACAACCTGGGTGCCTACCCTAGGAACCGAAATGTCAATTTCCACCTCCTTGCAAAGCTCGCGAAATTTCTCATAGACAACAGGGTAGTCTTAACTTTCTAAACAATGGAGAAATCACATAGAATTGTGCTCTCTCTCCTTTTTTGATGTCTTACTACTAATTCATTTATTCGCAACTAAAAGCACGAGTTGCGATGGAAATTAACGCCAAGGAAGCAATTGGTAGAATTAAAATAGAGACCTTGCAATGCTTGTTGGGTACATAAAGTGCTACTCAAACCTACAATATTTTACAGTGTTGCCTTTTGGCGGCCGACACTAGCCATATCCACTTACAGGAGTAATTTTGCATTCATATTTATTTTCGCATTCGTGCTTTTATTTATATTTTCGCTCATATTCAAATTCGTATCTGTACTCGAGTTCATACAAATATCCGTATTCGCATTCGTATTCATGCCAGTATTCGTGTTCATATTCGTCTTCGCATTCGTAATAGTATTAGTGTTAAAATTCGTATTCGTATTCGTTTTTAAGTCCGTAATAATATTCGAAATCTCGTTTGGATTCGTATTCGCATTCACTATCATATGCATATTCGTATTTATATTCAATACCATATTCGGATTGGTATACGTATTCGTATACGATTTCGTTTTCCTTTTTGAATTCATTATCGCATTCCTATTTATATTCGTATCCGATTTCGCATTTTTATTTCTCTTCATTATCGTATTCGTATTGGTCTCGCATTCGAATTCGTATTCGTACCCGTATTCGTTTTTATATTGGTATTCTCACTCGTATTAGTATTCAAATTCGTATTCGCATTCGTATTCGGTTTCGCAATTCTAATCGCATTCGTTATCGCATTCGTGTTCGTATACGTATTCGTATTCGAATTCAATTTCATTTTAATATTCGTAACTTCATTTTTATCCCTATAAGTGTTCATATTCGTATATGAATTCATTCGTAGTCATATTAGTATTCGTATTAGTATTAGAGTTCATATTCATGCTCCTGTCCGTATTCTTATTTGTATTTATTATCGTATTCATATTCGGTTTCGTATTCACATTCGGATTCGTATTCGTATTCGATTTCGTATTCGTATTCAATTTCGCAATTGCATTGGCATTCGTATTCGCATTCCTCTCCGTATTCGATTTCGTATTCGATTTCGCATTCGTATTCGGTTTCGTGTCCGCATTCGCAATCGTATTAGTTTATGTAGCCATATTCGTACAATAATTATAATGATATTCGTATTCGTGTTTGGTGTCGCAAACAGACATGTCAACGGCGAAACGGAAAAGCACAAACCATATTTTTTTTGATAGAGAGATTACCAATTCTAAAGGTAATTTTTCAAGTTAAACCAAAAAAATTAGAATAAAACAACGCACAGCAATGAAAATGTGGCTAAAGCACGATCTACAAAAATGTACGTTGCAAGGGATCCAAAAAATTGGAAGAAATAAAGAAAAACCTCAGACCAGATTGGCAATCTCATGAAAAATGTGGAAACAGAAAACTTGGTTTACTTATTTCCAGGCATATAAAACAGAAAAATCTCTGATTCTATGTACTACCAAATGCTTTAAAGAATATTTTCAATCTCTTTAAGGACAAGTAAAAATAATATATAAAACCACATGCATTAAATAGCTTTTCAAACGCCCAAAACCTTCGAAAAGTGCACCAAAAATGTACAATAATAAGCAGTTACACGTTTATACGTGGCAGCAACAACAAACATCAAATAGCCAATATTAACTTCAATAACAATTTAAGAATACCAAAAAGAAAGTGCACGTTTGTGTTTGATAGCCGTTGAAATCGTACACCGGGGCGTATACGTGACATGCAAAAGTAATACCACCAACTACGAGTACGAGTACAGGAAAGAAAGCAAGCATCAACCAATGGGCCAGGTGAAAGGAAAAGCAAGTGAAAATATGCAAATAATATTGAGAAAATCTCAATACTCCGCCTGCAATTGAAAACACATATGGAAGAAAGGCATAGGTAAATTTTTTAATATATGTATCATATGTATGTACATAACTTCTAATATATATACTATATGTGCATGTGTTTGCACCGCAAAACGAAATCCCTGTCTTACAAATGTGGTTTTTGTGGATTTTCGAATTTCGGTGTTTTTCCTGTGGTCATGTGTTATAAGCGCATACAAGCTTAAAATAAATACAGGCAAATACGTCCGCAACTGCATACATACATATCTACATACATACACCATCAAATAAGGGCAAGCAAATAAATGTGCGCACTTAAATGAAATAGGTAAAATGTGCTTGAATATATTTTTATATACATACATATATATATATATATTTTCCACATGTAAATATATATTTATATAAAGCACATAAGGGCTTCCACATATTTCTGTAAATGTTTAAATGTATAAGAAAATTTACAAAATATTTTTTTTTTCCTTTTCCAAGTGATTTCAGTACAGTTCACTGCAGTCACTGCCCGATATTGGATTTTAAGGGCATATTTACTCGTTTAAGCACGTACGTTTACTACAGACAATTGCTTAGGTATATATATATACATATGTATGTGTGTGCGTAGTAGCATGTAAGAATATTCGAAGAAATGCCAATATTTGCACAGAAACGATTATGATAAGTACACACATGTGCATATATATATATATGTATAATACATATTGCATATGACACACAGACATGTCCATGAATTCTCCTCATATTTATTTTACAAAATTGGCAAGGTAACCAAAATTACTGCTTACTTAGTTCTTGAGCTTATCACAAAATTCACTCGCTCTATCTCTCTCACTTATTCATATATGTACATACATATATAACGTATATATAATATAACTGTTTGTATGCGCGTGCCTTTGCATGTACGTTTGTGTGGTTAGAACTCAATTGGCATACAAAATTGTGTGTAACATCAGGAAATTGACTAATAAAAATAAATAGAAATATTTATTTATTTAATTTCTGGTTACAGTTATTTTGTGGTAAGCAAATTTTTTCTTTTTTAAATTATTTTAGTTTATTTGTTATATTTGTTGCGTATGAAAAATTACCATATATTATATGTATTTATAAAGGTTACGTATACGCACTGTTGTACTAATCATCGTAAAATTGTGGGAAAACGCTAAAAAAAAATTTAAAAAATAATAATCATAATTATATTGTTGTGAATTAATAACATATAGCCAGATTGGAAATTTTCGAAGTCAATTTTATAATGTTCAGACAAGTGTTGGCCCTCAATTGTCTTGTATTCGCCAAATTCAATGAAATTCTTTGTGGAAAAAAAAACCATTCCTTAATTCATGGATCTTTAATAATAGATGTTGTTTCTGTTATTCAGCTAGGTAATCAAAATATTTACATAATAAAACCTTAAAAATTAATTTAATTATTTATTTCATTATGTTATTAGATTATTTTTCAAATAGTTTTCTTCTCACTTTTTACAAGTGTATAATATATTATTCAACGAGTTGCTTTACAAATAAAAATCTTACAAAATTTCTAGAAAATCTTGTATACAATACCACACATTTATACAGTTTGTGTACTCTATTAAGCGGTCTGTGGTCATACTTTCTTGTAAACAACGTACAAATGCTTATGTATGCATCGCAAGTGCTGAGCCTGCCTTTGTTTTCTACGAAAGCAAATATGCAAGTATACAAACAAATATTTTATTTAATCTGCCGCAATCAAAGATTTCAAATACTTCAAAGCGCTAGTGTTTTAAATTATTTATAAAGATTTGATGGAAATTTAAGCAACTAAAGGTGTTACCTGCGTCCAGAGCTTAAGATTTAAGCAAACACAGATTTTTAATTAAAATTAATTAAAAGTATAAAATGAATTTAATTTCTACGTTATTACGCACACCAGTTTTTACATCAAAAATTTAAAACTTAAAAAATAAAAATTACTTCTAGTAACATATGCTTAAATAAATTAAGTAATAAATATTCATTTATTGGATTCAAAAAATAAGAAAAAGGATGAAAGCAAAGCAAAGTTAATTAAGGGAATTTTTTTAAGGTAAATAGAAAAGTAAATAAAAGTTTTAATGTACTTAAATATAATTAAATAAAATGAAAAAAAATTAAATAAAATCAAATATAAAAAAATTAAATTAATTATTAAAAAATCAATAAATGAGTAAAAATTGAAAATATATATTTTATTAAATAAAGAAAAAAAAAATAAAATAAAAAAAAATAAAAAAAAATCAAATAAAATAAAAGCATATAAAAGGAAATAAAAGGAAATAAAATCTTTTACAATAAAATTAAATAAGATTAATTGAAAAATAAAACAAGATAAAAAAAATTAAAAAAGAAATAAAATACACAAAGAAAACAAGTTAAAATAATTGAATTTTCGTCTTCCTGATTTTTTTTCTTTTTCAGCAAACCCATTTTGTTCCCTTGGTGAGCATTTTCGCTACCATGTCCTTTGACATTTCATTGTCCAACATTCACTTTGAGTTCGGTTTCATTCAGCGGGGTTGTTAGTGGGAACAATAAAATCATAGCAACCATAAAGAGGTCACATCATCCCTATAGAGATTGTTATGCAGAGAAGAAACCAATTTGTACATTGGTGTGCGTGAATACTTTTGGTCATATGCATGTCTATGTAACTTATATATAATATAATTATCTCGTACTTTTCTAGAAATATATTAAACCGTAAATTTTTCTACAAATAAATTAATTAAACACTAAATACTCAAAATTCTTCGTAATTAAGCTCAAAAATCCAGTGTGATTTCATATAAAATTTAAATTATTTTAATTTTTTTGTGCAAACATTTTAATTTTTTTAGCTTGGCATATTTATATTTTATTTATTATAAAATAAAAAATAAAATGTAAAAAATAATCTTAAATGAAATAAAATGATAAATAAAAAAATTAAATAAATGTTAAAAAAATTAATAAATGAGTTAAAATAAATAATAAAATTTTATTTAAAATGAATAAAATAATATAAAAATAAAAGAAAGAATATTACTTTTTCTAACTACACATGCACGAGTGCTAGCCACTTTTATGGCCAACATCTATTCACCTTTTCCAATTTCTATTTAACATATCCGGCAACCAGCTCACCTTAAGCTATTTGAAAATCCCTTCTTGCCAACAAAAATTACATGACACAAAATCTTGGTAGGGGAAAAAGCGTAATGCAGGTAAGCACACGTGTTCATAGTTATTTGGGGCAAAAATCTCCCTTAAAAATAAATATACCCCTACTGGACAATATATTTTTTCGAAACTTAAATATATGAGTTTGTTATATATATTAATATATATAAAATTTCTGCTGACTCAAATTATTTTTTATGTACTCTTCTGCGCTACATTTGTTTCTATCCAAAAGTACTTGAGTTCAAATCTGTTTGGTCATTGACCATGACAAACTAAAACATACGAGAACGAAAAAAAAACTATCAATTTCATACATACATATACTTGACCACATATGCTGCTTCTACAACTGACCTGTCTACGCGCTGTCGTATCATTTTCCCGAATCGGGTTATCTAAATTGCTACTTTGCAACACGTTGTACCG